AAAAGCTAGAAATATAAATACAGTGTGACCCAGCAATCCCTCTTCTTGGTATATTTCCTAGAGAAATAAGAACCATGACACAAATAGATAAATGCACACCCATATTTACTGAAGCACTATTCACAACAGCAAAAAGATAGAAAAACGTAAATGCCCATCAATAGCAGAATGGATAAACAACCTTTGATACATAGACACAAGGAATACTATGCACCATTGAAGATTAACAATGACTCTACGAAAAAGCTCATCACATGGATGAACCTTCAGGACATTGCACTGAATAAAGTTAATCAATCACAAAAGAACAAATAGAGTATGAGGCCACTATTGTAAAATGTCAAGAAAAAGTTTTCACACTAAAAGAAACATTCTTTGTTGGTTATCAGAGGTGGATTGGAAGGGTGGGATGAAATTCACTGGCTTGAGAATAGACTAGTATTAATTTGGGTGAAAGAGAAGGTAATATACAATAACAGGGAGGAAGACAGGAAAGACAGCAACAGAGGTAAATACTATCATATACAAAATCTATAATAGCAGCGCTCTACAGATAGACACACAGGCTGAACTACGGAAGTTAGAGTGGGAATATACTACAAATAGATAATAGGTTTGACAAAGGATATTTGTACATGGGTATTTACCTTTTCTGCAAATATATTCATGACTGTGATAGCATACAGGGGAAAAAGTGATGAAAACTTCTTAGGCATAGTCAGAGACCTTGAGAGAATTAATTGCTGTGCTTGGGGCTCAGGAACATATAGTCTCAGGGGACACCAAGGTCAACTGGCATAACTGAGTCCACAAAGATAAAGTTCTACTTCCTACTTTGGTGAGTAGTAACTGGGGTCTTAAAAGCTCATTTTAACTATTCAAACAACTATTGTCTGGAGGAAAGAAGAGTGATAAAAATGAAAGACACATAAGGAGCTCTGGTAGCGTAGTGGTTACGAATTGGGCTGTGAACCTTAAGGTCAGCGGTTCAAAACTACCAGCCGCTCCGTGGGAGAAAGATGAGGCTTTCTACTCCCGTAAAGATTTACACCCTCGGAAACCCTGTACAGGGTCGCTATGGGTCGGAACCGACTCGACGGCACTTAACAACAACAACAGGGACAATTAGTCCAGTGGACTAATGGACCATGGGAACATCAATTTCTATGACTCTGAGACCAGAAGAAATAATGGTGCCTGATACCACTGCCAACTGCTCTGAAAGGTATCATATTAGAAGGTCTTGGATGGGGTGGAACAAAACTCAAAACCGTAAAAAAGATCAGGCTTACTGGTTGGGTAGAGACTGCTGGAACCCTAAGACTCTGAACCTTAGTCACACTTCAGGTCTGGAACTGAGTTCAGCCCTGTGGCTCAATTTTCAGATAAGCAATAGAAAGGTATACTGAGGAAATAATAGCAATAGTGAGATATGTACACCCTAGAATGGTCAGAGTTTTGAGTTAAAATGGCAGCATTTATACAAGGACAAAGTTCAGAAAGGTGGGGGAAGAAGGAGGAATGAAAACAAGAAACACAGGAAGGAAGTGACGTTACATTAGGGGACTGTAATCAGTGAGATGAAATGAAGTGTATATGATTTGTTGAATGTAAAACTGATCATCTGCTCTGTAAACCTTATCCAATTCACAACAGTTAAAACAAAAAACAAAAAAAGAAGGAAAGTAATCCCACTCCCAAAAAGAAATCTTCCAAGAGATGGACTCATACGTACAGGGGTCATGAAAATACTGCGGGGCCAAGCAGCATTGCATTGTGTTATATGAGCATAAGTCCAAAAGGATTGCTACAAAATCAACAATGCCTAATTGATGTCAAAATATAGATTACAACATCATATAAATTAGGAAGCTGTTGTTTCTCAACATGTAGTTCATCTAACTCTGTTTATTTCTGTAGACTGTGTTCCCATGTCTCTTACCCTTCCCCAAAGAATTCTGTGCTCTTTGATTTATACAACATTAAAAAGACAGTTTGGGCATCCTTTAGGGGCTCAAATTATAGTCCTTTTCAATCTTCTTTGAATTTGGGGAATAAAAAGAAGTCTGAAGGGGCAAAATTAGAGTTGTACAGTGGATGGAGGAAGGTATCCCAATGAAATTCACATAGAACAGCCCTTGCTACGATTGAAGAATTGTTATTATTGTTAAGTGCCCTCTAGTTGGCTACAACTCATAGCCATCCACTATAGGATTTCCAAGGCTTAAATTTAAATCTTTGTAGGATTAGAAAGCTTCAGCTTTCTCTTGAGGAGCAACTGGCGGGCTCAAACCACAGATCTTGTGGCTTGAATTTCAGTGCTTATTGTATGGAGTCACTGTACTCTCACCTCAAAGAATGAGCAAGTGGCTATTTGTGATGGAAAACAATTCCTCAGAAAAAATTTCTTGGCCTTTTTTTCACCAATGGAGTTTTAGTTTTCTGTTCTCCCCCCTTCTCCCCCCCCCCCCCAAGATATTAATCCTTTCGACTTAACACTCCCACTGCCAGGCATTTATCTTACACAACAAACAAAACTATCTAAAAACACTCATCATATATAAACTTAAAGAGATAGGATGCAGATTAATGGTTACTAGGAGAATTGGGGAGGGTAGAATTGGGAACAATTATTTAAGGAACATGATTCCTTTTTGGGCTGATGAAAATGTTTTGGAATTAGATAGGAGTGGTGGTTGCATAATATTATGAGCGCATGAGATGTCACTGAATTGCTAACTTCTAAATGGTTAATTTTATGTTATGTGAATTTCCCCTAAATAAAAAATATATAAACACATAAAAATATCATAGCATTATTTGTAAGAGCAAAAGCCTGGAACCTTCTTAAATATTCACATATGTGGATCAGGTACCAACAAATCAGTAGCAGTAAAATGGATATACTAGGATGGATTTGAAGCTGTATCAAATTAGCTTAATGACTTCTTAGATGGAGAAGAATCAATAATGATCAAATGTTTCTAATCTGAACAATAAGGTGGATGATTAGACCATTACCAAGAAGAATAAAGAAGAAACAATTGGGCAGGGGAAGTTTAGCATAAAGTGTTTATGGATAGAGATAGCCACTATAGATCATTCTAGTGATCATGTGGGAAAATGAATTAATTGGGATGAATTAATCACGATGGGAGTTATGGTTAGGAGAAGAGGACAAGAAGGAAGGATGCCTACAAAGAAGGTGAAATGTGACTATACAGAATTATAAAGTAAACGTGTCAGTCAGGCCTGCATGCTTCACAGTCATCTTGAGACCTGAAAAATTATGTAACTGATGTGGCTAAAGCTACAAAACTTTTAGGTTGGTTGAAGTGTATTTGATACATTAAGTCAAAATGCCTCTGATATTGTAATATGTTGAGTCCTGGTGTAGCGCTGTAGAATAAGCACGGGACAGCAAGGTTGGTTTGAACAGCAAGATCTGTGGTAGAAACTCACCAGCCACTCCTCCATTGAGTTGGAACTGACTCAATGGCACTTAACAACAACAAAAATGCCTATTGAAGCAACTTCATGGGCATATAACCACCATGACCACAATACATATCCATCTATAAAATGAAGTAATACATATATACTCCAAGGTCGGTAGTTCAAGCTTACCAGTCACTCCTCAGAAACCCTATACAGGGTTGCTATGGGTCGGAACCGACTCGAAGGCACTTAACAACAACAACAACGTATTACTAATATACATATTAATATATAGGATCGTTGTTGTTGTTCAGTGCTGTCGAGTTGGTTCTGACTTATAGCAACCCTGTATAGTGTTTCCAAGGAGAAGCTGGTGAGTTTGAACTACCGACCTTGCGGTTCAAACCGATTTTACAGTCTAGCGCATTAATCTAAAGAGCCACACCAGGACTCTAACATATAGGGTTTGTTGTTGTTAAGTGCTGTAGAGTCAGTTCTGACCCATAGCAATTCTGCATTAGAATTTCCAAGGAGTGGCTGATGAGCTTTAACCGCTGGCCTTGAGTTTCAAACCGATTTCGCAGTCCAGTGCATTAACCTGTAGTGCCACACCAGGAATCCAATATATAGGATAGGCTTAGCTCTATATAAACACTATTGTTGTTAAGTGATATCTAGTTGGTTCTGACTCACAGGGACTCTGTATAGGGTTTCTGAGGAGTGACTGGTGAGTTTGAATTTTTGGTACAAACTGACCTTGCAGTCCAGGGCACTAACCCAAAGCGCTACACCAGGATTCTTATATAAACATAGTCTCATTTAATCCTCATCTAATATTAAAATATCAAGAATTTCTATACCATCTTAGAGATGGGAGAATGGAGGATCAGAGAATGAGAGTGGCAATTAAGTAAGAGAGCTCATGCTATGGAAACTCATGCCTAAGACCCTTCAAAATGTTTTGCTTGTTTGTTTTTTTTAAATTGTGCCATATTGTCTCCCTTTGGGGATAATAGTATTTACCTGCCAACCTCAGAAAGTTACTCTGAGTAAAACCTGGAAAATTTGTGGGCCCAGTAATCCATGATGCTGTGGGTTAATGCACTGGGCTGCAAGATGGGTTTGAATCACAAGGTCAGCGGTTCAAGCTTACCAGTTGCTCCTTGGAAACCGTATACAGGGTTGCTATGGGTTGGAACAGACTTGAAGGCACTTAACAATAAATAACAATCTTCCTTCTTAACCTACATGATGATGATTCTGATGTCATGGTCTCGGAACCATACTTTGAGAAACACTGTCTTGTGTGTTGAGGACAATAAACCATGGCAACCCCTGTAAAGGTAATGGTAAATACTATTGTTGACTGCTATGAGGCTTTTCTTAGAAGGGGTAGGCCAATTTTAATTTCTAAAAATCTAACTTAACATCTTTTATTTGTTTATGTTTACATCATTTTTGCTGCCTTCATGACGTTTGGCCAGTTCTCTGTGTAGACCCTCCCCCCACCCCGCCACAAACACTAATGTCTTTCCTAAATTTACAGGCTTCTTCCTTCTCATTTCCTAGGCATTACTAAGAAAAAGCTCGGTGTTTGTGGCTGGATCCTGTTCTCCCTATCTTTACTGCTGATGATCATTACCTTCCCCATCTCCATATGGATGTGCTTGAAGGTAATACCCTGGGAAATAAATTGGGCTCTCCCTATGAGCTGATGAGCCATTAAGACTAAATGTTTTCCCTTAATCTCGTAGATCATTAAGGAGTATGAACGTGCTGTTGTATTCCGACTGGGACGCATCCAAGCTGACAAAGCCAAAGGTCCAGGTATGACACCATGGTTACCCCAACAAAGATTCGAAGGCACCGGTTATTATGACTACTCCCACCATTCTTTCCCCTAGTGGTTCCTATCAACAGTCAAAGAAACGTCAGAGTTTCAACGGTCAAAAAAACAGCACATCTGTATCAGAGTAGAACTGTACTCCACAGGGTTTTCAATCTTTACCAAGTACTGTAAGCAGGAATTTTACTTAGACTAGCAACATAATCAGCTTATCATATTTTAGAACATGGAATAATACCTTTGGATGTTGCCTAAATATATCCCAATTTTCTGCCCAAATACATTGCAAATCTAATGTGACAAAACATAGTAGCTCTTTCATAAAGGTTTCCACACTGCATTTCATTTTGAAAAGTTCTAACTGCTGTTGTATTGTTAACTTCTTTTAAAGGAGAGAACTGGGTTATAACACTGACGTTGCTCCTTTTTTTCTTTTTTTCAATTAAAATGTTTGATTGTGTTTTCAGTGAAAGTTTGCACAGCAAATTAGGTTCCCATTTAACAATTTCAGCACAATTTGTTCAGTGACATTGGTTTACATTTTTCACAGGGTGCCAACTTTCTCATTGTTTCTATTCTGACTGTTCTGTTTCCAGTCATCTGGTTTGTCTGCCCCCTCGCCTTCTTGACTTTTCTTTAGAGTTTCTTTCTTTTTTTAATAAATGTTTTATTGTGAATTGTGTGATATTTTACATGGGAGAACATTAGTTTTACATTCATTCTATCATACATCATTTCATTGCCATAGTTACCATCCTGTCCATGCATCATTCCCCAAAGAAAGGGTATACCCTGCAAGCCCGCCCCCCGCCCCCCACGGTCCTCAGCACACAGCCCCTTTCCCTCTCTGGATCTCAAGTGCCCCGCCACTCCATCTCTTCACGTCATCTTCTCTTCCTTCATCCCAGGCTTCACTGCTTCTCTGGGTAGAGTCCCGCTCTCTGCTCTTCTCCATTGATGGTCCCAGGGCCCTCTGCTCCTAGACTGAAAAGATAATCACTCCCCTCCTTGCTACAAAATGTCCACCTTTACATTTCCAACCCTCACAATCAGTCCTGATAACAATTATTCACTATTGCATCACAAGAGACCCATCTGTATTTCATTTCATCAGCCCTTCCTGGACAGGCTGGATACTATTCACTGGAGACTCTACCTTCCTCCACACTCTTTGGATCTAGGTTCCCTCTTGAAAGCTTGTAAGCCAGTCACTTCTTGCCTTTGTATCCCTCCCCCCATTTTGGGTAGCCCATGACCAAGTTGCCCATCCCTGTCTCTTTGTGTGGAGGGGGTGGGAATAATTCTTACAGCAGGGATTTGTTTCCTCTTTTGAGCTACTGCATTTATAGGTGTAAGTCAAGTTTATCAAATTATATCAGATGACACTTTTTTTTTCCCTCTTCTTTCTTCTTTGGGTTGAGCTCTGTTCATCCAGTCATTGAAGCCAGGTCAAGTGGTATCATCTGCAAGTGTGGGTGTTCTTGCATTTAGACTCTTTCTTCAATGTTAGCATTTGTAGGTAATATAAGATATAGAATAGAAAATAATCCAAAGTTCTTATTATGTTTTTAAAGATCCTATACAATTGGACCCTTGAATATTCCTGCAGAAATTGCCAATCATAGGCAAATACTTACATAGAATAGGCCTGGAGGGTACATGCTGGGAGAAGACTAAACAGACACGGGGATGGCTGGAGAACAAATAAAATACACAGGAGACTAGAAAACAAAGCTGGGAAAGAAAAGTCCACAAACAGAACGTGAAGTCATGTCTTAAGTAGACAAAAAGCCAGTGTAGGACTCTCCACAGATGGCATGGCGTCTCTGACGGGTGCAGATTGCTAATGCTAAGGTTGCTGATTGAAAGGTCAGAGGTTCTAGTCCACCAAGAGGTGCCTCAGAGGAAAGACCTGGAGATGTACTGCTGAAAAGTCAGCCATGGACAACCGTATGGAGCGCAGGTCTTGTCTGACATGCATATTCTCCCCCTGAGTCCGAGCTGACTAGAAGAGTGACTACTTGACAAGGGAGTGGGGTTGGTCAGGAACTAAAATTACCTTTCAAGTAAGACATTGATAGAATATTCATAACTGCCTTTAGTGGATATTTGGTTCACCCATATAAAATTGCTAATATTTGACTGTTTGTACCTATAAAAATGGCAATTTCATGTGGTTAATTCTAATATTTTTGAAAGAAGGGGCTGTCAAAAACAGCCACTATGAAGACACATGAAAAATCATAACTATTAACTATTTCATGGCTATTCCTCTGATGACACAAGTTTCTGCTTGCAATTATGGTTATTTTAGCAAAATTGCTCTCTCCAACTTGATTTTAAGATCTTTGTGGGTAGGAACTTTTTTATTCACAGTGAGTGTTTTGTGTTTGACCATACACAGACACTGAGATATCCATTACATGAAAATGTAGAAACTCCAGAATAGAAGATTGTGAAGGGGATGTGGCTGTTTGTCTAATTTTATGGATGACCTAAGAGAAAGAGGATGAGAATGATTTATTTTGCATGTTTTTATGTGTTTATCAAAACAGAAGAGCTAGAATAATGCAGCTGAAGTAAAACAGAACATGGCTAACCCCTTCCCAGCTTTGTTGGTGGGACTTCAATTATAAGTTACAATAAAGTTGGATTGGAGGAGGAAGAATAGCCACAGCCTGAAGGACACTAGAGAAAAATGTACCTCTTTTAAATGAATTTCCCAGAAGGTTTTAAACTGAGTGTCCCAGGGTACTTACTCTCGTCATTTATGCCTTTGGGGTTAATGAGTTACCTCAGAATGTCATAAGGGCCGGAGGGAAATGATCCAAATCGCTCATGGAAAACCTCTCCACTTTTGTAAATTATAATGTACTGGAATACAATTCGGTTTGAACCACAAGGTCGGTGGTTCAAGCTCACCGGCCATTCCTTGGAAACCCTATACAGAGACACTATGAGTTAGAAATAACTTGACAGCACTTCACAAAAACAACAACAACAACAATAATAAAATATTGATAATAGAGGTAACACTTTCTGAGCACTTAATACATGCCTGCCATTGAAATGAAGTACTAAACACAGTGGCAGACCAACAGAAAGAAAGAACTTCAGCAGTCTTTCTCCTCTAATGCTGTCAGACACTTAATGGTGCTTTACTTAAAGAGCTCTTCCTAGTCTGAAAACAAAAACAAGAACATAAACCTTTCTGGTAAATGGAAATGGATTGGCGTCCCCCATCCTGCTGACATGTCTTTGCAACTCATGCTGAAAAGAACTTTCATCAGGGTAATGGTAAAGGTTCCTATAGTCCTCAAATGAATTTTCTTATATCCATATATCCCCTTTCCCCAATACTTAAGAACTGAGAGAGAAGTAGAAGTATTTGTACTTGGGGAATGCCACGGTCCCAAAACTAGAATACAGTTATGCAGAAACTTAGTTTCAGGACATATGAAAGCCTGGAAAGATTTGAATTTGAGTTTTCCACAGTGCTACTCAAGATAACTGTGAATGTTAGCAGCCACTGATACTCAAGATCAGATGTCTACTGCTTGAATCATTTACATAGTTACCTTTAATATAGGGAAATCAATTTCTGCAATAGCCTTCTAAATTAATGTTTTTGGATAGAAGGCGATTATAACTTAAAAATTAATTAAGAAAACAAGTGTTAAGGATCTTTGTTGTTGTTGTTGAGTGCTGTCGAGTAGATTCCAACCCATAGCGACCCTGTATAGGGTTTCCAAGGAGCAGCTGGTGAGCTTGAACCACTGAACTTGCAGTTCAAAGAACTTTGCAGTCTGACGCACTAGCCAACAACGCCACACCAGGATTCATAAGGATCTTTAGCCTTTTACAAAAAATAAATTCTTGGAGAGTCACTGTTGTTTAGTCATTGACTAATAGGAAGAATTCCCCAAATTGTAAGTGTGCAAAATGAAAAACATTGGAGAAATATTTAATGTTGTTGCTATTAGGGGCCATAGAGTTGGTTCCAATTCATAGTGATGGGACCCCATGCACAACAGAGCAAAACACTGCCTGGCAATTGTGGTTACAGTTGAGACCATTGTGTCAATCCATTTTGTTTGGGACATTCCTCTCTTTTACTTTTGTTGTTGTTTTTAAGTGCCATTGAGTCAGTTCCAACCCATAGCAACTCTGTTTAGGCTTCCAAGAGAAGTTGATGGTGGGTTTGAACCTCCTAACTTGTGGTTTGCAGTCCAGTGAGTATCTCGTAGTGCCACACCAGTATTCCTGGCCCTCCACTTTTCTAAGCATGACGTTCTTCTCCAAGGACAGATCCCTCCTAACAACATGTCCAAGGCACACGAGTCTCACTATCCTCGCCTCTAAGGAGCATTCAGGATGTACTTCTTCCAAGACAGATTTATTTGTTCTTCTGGCTGTCCATGGTACTTTCTATATTCTTCTCCAACAGCATAATTCAAATGCATTGATTCTTTTCCAGTCTTCCTTATTCATTGCCCATTTTTCACATGCGTATAAAGTTATTGAAAATGCCATGGCTTGGGTCAGACACAACCTAATCCTCAAACTGACATCTTTGTTCTTTAACACTTTAAAGAGGTCTTTTTCAGATTTGCCTAATGTAACATGTAGTTTGAGTTCTTTTTCTTTCTCTTTTTGGTGGGGGGTGGGTGGGTAGGAGTAAGGAGTGAGGGTTAGGGTTGGGGTTATGGGTAGGTTTTGGCTAAGCTTCTTGTTGTTATTGTTATGTGCCATGGAGTCGGTTCTGACTCATAGCTAACCTATACAGGGTTTCTGAGGCTGTAAATCTTTACAGGAGCTGAAAGCCTCATCTTTCTCCCGTGGAACAGCTGGTAGTTTTGAACTGCTGACCTTGAGGTTTGCAGCCCGATTCGTAACCACTACGCTACCAGAGCTCCTTTGGCTAAGCTTAGGACTTTGTTTACTGTTAGTGTTAAGGATAAAGGTTGGGGTAAGCATAAGAGTAAGACTTGGTCTAGTTTTTAGGGTTATAGTTAGGTTTATTTTTATTTGTTTATTTGATATTTTTCTTGAAATCTCTTTGATTTCCTCTTCATTTGCAAGTTCTTTAACTACATTAATCTCTTTTTTAACTTTATTTTTGTTGTTGCTGTTGCAACTGTTTCTCTGTTTTCAGACTTATATGTCTGTTTGATTGTGCATACTTCTAGATCTAGCTTAAGTCTAGGTGATATCATCATTAGTATTAGTATCTGGTTCTTGTCTACTATTGTTGATTCCCTTTAGCATTATTTATAAGTTTGCTTTGGCTTTTACAAGTTTCTTTAATTTTTGTTTGTCTGAAAATTACCTAATTTTGCCATCATATTTGATGGACAGTTTTGCTGCATATATGATCCTCAGTTGATAATTTTTTTTCTTTCATGGTTATATATATGCCATCCCATTGTCTTCTTGCCCGCATGGTTTTGCTGAGAAATCAGAGCTTAGGATCGTATTGGTTCTCCTTTGTAGGTAACTTTTCATTTTTTTCTGAGCTCCTTTCAGCATTCTTTCCTTGTCTTGGTTTTAGAAAGTCTGATTATAATATGTCTTGGCGTTTTTCTTTTGGGGTCTAACCTGTTTGAAGTTTTCCAACTTCTTGAATGGCTTCTTTTAATGATGCTAGGAACGTTTTCTTTCAACAACTCTTGGACAATTTTCTCTATGGGTTTTTTTTTTTCTCTCCCTATTCTAGGAATCTTATCAGATATAAATTATGACTATGATAACATCCCACATAAATCTGGGCTTTCTTCAGATTTTTTTGTGCTTTTTCTCTGATTGTTCCTCTAATAGATGGATACTGAGCGATTTTCCTTGCAGCTCAGCAATTTGACTTTCCAGTGAGTCAATTCTATTTCTTTGCCACTTCAGTGCATTATCTATTTCTGAAGTCTTAGTGTTAACTCTCTGACTTTTTAATTGCTGCTTTTATATGGTCCCATTTTTTCAATTATTTTGTTAGTTTGTTTCCTGAAAATTTCCATAGCTTTGTCTATATTTTCTTCTGTAGTTTTTTCATTCTTTCTCACAATCTACTAAAGTTGCTTTTAAATTTCTTATTAGGTGGTTCTGATTCAATTTCTGGAGTTATAGTTTTTGACTCTGTATTTTGATGACTTTTATAGGCACTCTGTCTTGTTTCTTTGTGTAAGTTGAAATTTTCTGTTTTCTTGAAGACTTTGATTGTGGTGTTATATTGATATTTAATTGATGTCTGCATAGTGGTGTAGTCTCAGGCACTCATCACCTGTCTCCTGATGGATGTGGTAGAGACTGGAAGTGTGAATGTAGTTAGTTCTCTGTTGGCAGTTTGGGTAGCATAGATCAGCATGGGTTCATGTGCCTCCAGAAGCAGGGCTGCTTTGCCAAGTTCTTGATCCCAGGCAGAGCAGAGGTTGTGCAGGAGGGGGTGCCTCTAGTTGCTGGGTTGTCACGGGTGGGTTCTGGTCATGCTTCCAGCTACCAGAGGGGAAAGGAACAAGGGAGACTTGCACCCCCTTGCCACCAACCTCTTGCTTCATCTTGTGCTCGCAGTCCTATATCAATCACCACTTAGAAAAGCCCAAGATAGCCATGTTGTGCCATGCCAGTCCAATCTGCCTGGTGTTCTTCTCTCTCATTACTACTGTTCAGCTTCCTATTCCAGGCACGCAATTCACTTCTCTGTTCTATCTGCTGATGCTTAAGTTTCCAAGATCACCATTTCTATCTGTCTTCCATATCTTTGTTGCAGAGTGTTGGTTCAATGATCTGCTTACTTTACCATCTTACCCCAGACTCTCATCTTTTGATTTCTTGACTGCTGCTTCCATGAGAGTTGATTGTGGATTCAAGCAAAATGTAGTCTTTGGAAGTTTTGATCTTTTCTCTGTTGATTATTTATTTATTAGTCCAGTTGTGAGGATTTTTGTTTTCTTTATATTGAAGTACAATCTCTACAAAAGGCTGGAGTCTTTGATCTTCATCAGTAAGTATTTCATGGGCTCTTTGCTTCCAGTAAACAATGTGTGTCATCTGCATATCGCAGGTTGTTAATGAGTTTTCCTCCAATCCCGATGCTGCATTTTTATTTACAAAATCCTGTTTCTGAGGTTATTTGTTCAAGGAACAGATTGAGTAGGTATGGTGAAAATATACAATGCTTACATGCACTTTTCCTGTTTCTAAGCTATTCATTGTCCCCTTGTACTATTCTAATGACTGTCTCTTGACCTATGTACAGGTTCCACATGAGCACAATTAGTGTTCTGTAATATCCATTCTTTGCAATGTTATGCATAGTTCGTCATAATCCACACAGTCGAATGCCTTTGCATAGTCAATAAAGTTCAAGTAAACATCTTTCTGGTACTCTCTGCTTTCAGCCAAGACCATCTGATGTCAGCAATGATGTCCTCACTCCAGGTCTTCTGAATCTGGCTTGAATTTTTGGCAGCTCCCTGTTAATGTACTACTGCAACAGCTTTTTGGTTATCTTCAGCAAAATTTTTCCTTGCATGTGATATTAGGATAGTTAGTGTTCAATGAGTTAAGCATTTTGTTGGGTCACTTTTTTTTAGAATGGACTCAAACATGGATTTGTTTCAATTGGTCGGCATTGCATCAGCTTGTTGAAACATTTCAATTTCTACTTCATCAAGTCCTGAAGACCTGTTTCTCACCAGTGTTTTCAGTGCAGCTTGGACTTCTTCTTTCACTACCATTGGTTCTTGATATGGTAACTCTTGAAATGACTGAATATGGACCAATTCTTTTTGGCACAGTGACTCTCTGTATTACTTTAATCTTTTTTGAATCATTCAATATTTTGCCCATAGACTATTTCAATATAGAAAGTCGAGACTTAAATTTCTTCTTCAGTTCTTTTAGCAAGAGATATATTGACCATGTTCTTCTTGTTTAATTTTCAAACTCAAGTCTTTGTACATTTGATTATAATACTTACTCTTTTCAGTCTGTCTTTTAGAATTTTCTGTTCAGCTCTTTTACTTCCTCATTTATTTCAGTCAGTTTAGCCTCTCTACATTCAAGAGCAAGTTTCAGAGTCTTTTCTGACATCTATTTTGGTATTTTCTTTCCTTTCTGTGTTTTTAGTGACCTTTTGCTAGCCTCATGTATATTGTTCTTGATGTGATCCCACAACCTCTCTGGTCTTTGGTTGTAAGTGTCTAATGCATCAAAATCTGTTCTTGAGATATTCTTTAAACTTACATGGGACATACTCAAAATCATATTTTTGCTCTCATGGACTTGTTTTCATTTTCTTCATCTTCAGCCTGACGTTACGTATGACCCATTGATAGTCTGTTCCACAGTCATCACGGTCCTTGTTTTGCGGATGCTATTGAGCTTCTCCATCGTCTTTTCCCACAGATACAGTTAAATTGATTACAGTGTGTTTCATCTGGTGAGGTCAACATGTGTAGTTGCTGTTTATGTTGTTAAGAAAAGGTATTTGCAATGAATAAGTCATTGTTATTGTTGTTAAGTACCATGGAGTCAGTTCCAACTCATAGTGATCCTGCACAGGGTTTCCGAGGCTGCAGATCTTTACGGGAGCAGAAAGTCTCATCTTTCTCCTGCGGAACAGCTGGTAGCTTCAAACTGCCAACTTTGGGGTTAGCAGCCCGATTCGTAACCACTACGTTACCAGATCTCCTTGGTCTTGTAAAATTCTATCTTGCGATCTCCAGCATCATTTTGATCTCCAAGACCATATTTTCCAACTTTCCTCTTTATTTCTAACTTTTGCATTTCAAATCACCAGTAATTATCAATGCGTCTTGATTGCATGTTTGATAAATTTCTAACGAAAGAAGCTGGTTGTTGTTGTTGTTGTTGTTGTTGTTAAGTGCCATCGAGTCGATTCCGACCCGTAGCGACCCTGTATAGGGTTTCCGAGGAGCAGCTGGTGAACTTGAACCGCTGACTTTGCAGTTCAAACGGCTTTGCAGTCTGGTGAATTAACCCACAGCGCCACACCAGGAGAGTCAATAGCCCTAGACTCATTCCATGTTCTGATTATTAATGGATGTTTGCAGTTATTTCTTCTCATTTTTAGTTGTACCTGATCAGCAAATGAAGGTCCTGAAAGCTTTACTCCATCGACATTATTAAGGTTAACTCTACTTTTAGGAGGCAACTCTTCCCCAGTCGTATTTTGAGTGCCTTCCAACCGGAAGGACTTATCTTCTGGGTAACTATATCAGACAATGTTCCTTTGTGATTCATAAGGTTTTTAGTACGTAACCATTCAAAAATGGTCTGCCTCTCCTTCCTAGTCTGTATTAGTCTGATTACTCTGCTGGCAATTATCTTATAAAAACGCACAAAACACTTATTTTAAAATACACAGCATAGAGACAGGATGTGGATTAGTGGTTACTAAGCGCGTTGGGGAGGGTAGATTCAGGAGCAATTACTTAAGGGATATGGTCTCTTTTTGATGATTCCAATTTGAAATACTGGTGGTATAGCTCCAGCCTCACAGCAAAAAAGCAAGTCACCACAGTATGCCAAGCGGACAGCATAGTGGGAGAAATATTTATAGCTCTATGAAAATGATGTACCACATAGCTAGGAGATTATTTATTGTAGTAATTATTTTCAATGAGGTAAACTTCTAAATTGTATTTTTCCCCCATAGGCTTGATTCTGGTCCTACCCTGCATAGATGTATACATCAAAGTTGATCTCCGAACTGTTACTTGCAACATTCCTCCACAAGAGGTAATGGTACTTAACGATCTATCACTAGAAGTAAAATTTGCATTTTCCCCATCACTTAGACAATTTAAATTCTACATTATGTTTCTAAAGTATAAGAGAAAGGATAAAATGACTGGGCTTTACTTTATCAATGAGAACAGAAGCTATGGGCAGGGGTTGAGTTACTGGAAGGCTTGGCATGGGTGGGTGGAGAAGGCATAGGGATGAGGTTCAGTGGCAGGGAGTTGGGAAGACAAGGCTAGGGCAGATACTAAGGAAAGCCACATGATTTCTTTATCATGTTGAACCATGTCCACTATGACCCAGGAAATGTACTAAGAAATAATGACGTCTCCATACCATTGGAGGGAACTGTGCTGTTGTTGTTGTTGTTATGTCGTTGAATTGGTTCCGACTCACAGCAACCCTGTACAAGGGTTTCCCAAGACTTTAAATCTTCATGGGAGCAAGAAACCTCATCTTTCTTCCATGGAGCAACTGGTGGGCTCGAACCACAGACCTGTGGTTCTCAGTCCAGTGTTTATCGTATGGAGCCACCACATTCTTGGAGGGAACTGTGAAGCACTGCATTTAGAATCCAACTCCAATCACAGCAAAGCTTGGAATGCTTAATGACCTATTATGGGCATTTTCTGGCCGCACAATAAGCACTCCTACATTTTGCTCCCTTGATGTTGTGTTGTTGTTAAGTGCCGTCGAGTCAGTTCCAACCCATAGCAACCCTGTATAGGGTTTCCAAAGAGCAGCTGGTGAGCTTGAACCACCAACCTTGCAGTTCAAATGACTTTGCAGTCTGGCACATTAACCCACAGCACCACACCCAGGCTCCCTCCCATGATGCTCCCCATGATCTTTCATTTGCTCCAAAGTTAACATTGTTCAGAATGGTTGATGCTAAACCACATTGTAAAGCTGAGCCTATTTTTCCTTACTTGAAAATAGAACACAGTCTTTGGTACCATCTGTGTTTTCTAAGCAGCACAGCTATTCAAATCTGATGAAATCTGAAAAGCAGTGTCAGAGAAACGTGTTCTAACTGTGTGTGGAAGGTAGAATTCCCAAAATTTATCATGGAATTACCTTTTCTTATCATGCAAGATCCAGGGTCCCTAGCGGGAACAGGAGGGAGGCATAAGTGTTCTATACAACTACAACAAAGACCTTTCTAAGGTGAAGGTATAGGAGTGGGCATAGAAAGTTTCTTATTTACTAGAATGATACTATTCTCAAGCCAATACAGAATTTTCATGATGGCTACCATGAGCTATCATTACAATTCTACTTATGTAATACCCTTCTGTCTCCTAAGGAGGAGAACTCCTGGATTGGCTAGTGTATTGTTGGCTGCCATTAACTTGGCTCCAGATTCATACATGAATCATGCATGAAATGCTGCCCAGTCCTGTGCCAGCCTCATCATCAGTTGCATGTTGGATTGCTGTTATCCTTAGGGTTTTCATTGGCTGCTTTTCTTCCATCTTAGTTTGGAAGCTCCATTGAAACATGTTGAGTGTCCTAATAACACACAAGCCTTGATTGACAGCCAGGTGGTGGCTGTACATGAGGTGCATTGGCTGGGGCTTCAACTTGGCTCTCCCAAGTGAATCACACTGTTTCCAAAATCCAGTTGTCATTTGTCATGAAAGTAATTGTACAAATGGCAAGGGAGCTTCATTGCTTCACATGGGGGAAGGAGACTTCAATTCATCAGCACAAGGTCAGTTCCTATAAGGCGGAGTTCAAATAGGCCTCCATCCTTTTTCCTCCTATATCAATTCTGACAACAAACATCCATCCCTCCCACAACACTCAGCTGGTTTGATAATCTGTTGCAATGGCCACACAGAACATACAGGCAGTGTTCACAATTAGGGGTTTACTAGGGAAGTCAGCAGGTTATAGTTCAGGATCAGAAATGCTTATGATCCTTTCTTCTGGTCAGGAGCACCTGCAGGCAGACCTCTCTCCCTCTAGGGCTTGTCAGCCAGTATATACCCTGGCATATACCCTGTTCAAACAATGTTACAAAGCACTTGTAGTACTGCTGAAAATGCCCAAAGGCATTCAGCTTCACTCTCTGTGGATTGGGAAGCCTGTTGCTCTGCTCTGTCTTATGCTTTCGATTCTGCTGCCTCTGCTCCTGCTGCCACCAGTTTTCCACACAGAGATGTGAGTCCAAAGGATGTGCCTAGCTCCTGGCTCTTCTTGCTTGATGACTGTAGATTCTCCCATTCCTGCTTTTGAGATGGCTCATCTAAAACCCAGTGGGATGGCAAAACTGACCAATCCTTACGTTAGAGTTTCATACATCCTATTTGTATGATCCCATCCAGCTATTTGGTGGGAGTTAAAAACAGTCATATCAAATAATTCAGCGCAGCACCATAATCAACATGTGATTTCGCCCTATTCTTGCTCCACAGATCCTTACCCGAGACTCTGTGACTACTCAGGTGGATGGTGTCGTCTATTACAGGATCTATAGTGCTGTGTCAGCAGTGGCGAATGTCAACGATGTCCACCAAGCCACATTTCTGCTGGCTCAGACCACTCTGAGAAATGTCTTAGGGACACAGACTTTGTCCCAAATCTTAGCTGGCCGAGAAGAGATTGCCCACAGCATCCAGGTAAGATGCCTAGAACAAACATCTTTAACTCATTTATTCGGATTATCAGTCCTTGAGTGGTTATCTTAAGTTGAATTCTCTACAGAAGCAAAACCAATGAAACATATATATATATATATATATATATATATATAGTACCA